AAAAAAGGTTTATTTTGGCTCACAGTTGGAGAGAACACAATCCATCATGGTGGGAACAGCATGGTGGTGGGAGGATGAGATGCCTGGTCACACTGCCTCTGTAGTAAGGAAGCAGTAAGGAATGAATGTTGGTACTCATGGCCCCCCTCATTTTTTAACTCAGTCTAGGACCTCAGACCACAAGATGATGCAGCCAGTGTTCAGGGTAGGTCTTCACTCTCTAGACACACTCTCATAGGCATGACCAGGGGCATGTCTCCTAGGTGATTCCAAATCTAGTCAAGTTGACAATGAAAATTAACTGTCACAGGTCACTATTTGGCATAAACCAGCCTTTGAACTTGGACAATAAGTTTGACCTAAAATGGTATATGCAAAAAATCAACAGCTTAATATGTAAACAAATTCTAAAATAACCTATGTATCTGTAACTAAACTAACTTAATCATAGCAGCTGAATTTCTAGTTAATCAAAGGCTTAAAAGCTGCCAAAATATGACTAAGTAAAGTAAGTGCCAACTGCAGCAGGGCCAGAGGAAGTATAGTGGAGAAGTACCCTGGTGAGGGGAAGGGGCCGTGGGGAAATAAATTCCCCATCACAGAGCATTAGCAGTGAAGGAAGTGGACCAAAGTGAAATGACTGGACCTTGGTGTTTGAACAGGGAGTGGTAAGCCCGGGGGGGTCTACCCAGAGAAGGTTCCTGGCCACACAAGGAATTCTGCATTCATCCTGAAGTGATGATCACATGCCCATTTTGGAATGAGGCTCCATGTGGAGGGGGTGCTTGAGAAAGTCAAACTTGGATGCTGGGAGACTCATGAGGAAGCTGTCAAGAGGGTAGCTGGGTGGACAGAGACAGGAAAAACTCGGGGACTGGAGAGCTGATTGGTTGGCTTCTGGTGGGGCACTTGGCTTTGGTAGGATGAGCAGCAGCAGTTAGAAGCCAAAGCTTGGGGGCAACTGGGAGAAAAGCAGGTGGAATCACTGGGTAATGAAAACCAGATAGGAGGTCGAGGGGGAAGAGATGAATTTTGGATGGAGATGTGACGTTTAAGGTATTCTGAAAGCCGTTCAGACAAGGGAACAAGTAGAGAGGAAGATCTAAGGATTGTGCTCGAGTGCACTGATATTAAAGCCACGGAGACAAGTGAGGTCATCAGGAAATTCCATTTGGGGAAGAGGACTCAGAACAGAGCTCTGGGAGATGCAGTCTCAGCCTGGGGAAGGAATAGGCACTTGTAAGATTAAACCCAGGAGTATGTTTTTAAGACAGCTGCCAATGCTGATATTGTTCCAAGAAAGGGGCAGACAACAAAGCCTCCTTTCTTACTTCCTTACCCTCCTTTTCTTACCCCTCTCATATAAAAATAGCTCTAGGATTGGGGAAGTGGGTGGCTGTCAAGACTCGTGGAACTGGTCCTGTCTTGCTCCCATAGTGTTGCCCAATTGGTGTAAGTGTTCCTGTTGATCAGAAAGTAGATCTGATGTTGAAAGAGAGTGGCGGAATGAATGTTCTCAAGACAAAGGCTTTCCACAACGCTGCACCGAGCTCTGGATTTACCAATATCTTGGTATGATGGAACTGAAGTTACTTCCTGGACCTCATAGAGCATTACTAGTGACTGATGTGTGCTCTAGGTATGTGTGTTGTGTGTGTGTGTGTTTGTGTGGATGTGCACTTGTGGATGTACAGGTACCTATGGAGGTCCAAGACTGACTTTGAATGGTTTCCTCTAGTATTTTCCACCTTACTTTTTAGACAAGGTCTCCCACTGAAGCTGGAGCATACCGATTGACTAGACTGGCTCTAATTCCTCTTTCTCAAACAAGCTTAGGATCTGATAGTACTCACATTTGTTCGTTTTTGTGGTGCTGGGGGTGGAATTCAGGGCCTCCTGATATTCTAGAATAGCGCACTACTCCTGAGCTATACCCCCAATCCCTCATTTATATTTGTTGGCCAAGTTATTATACTTTAGCAAGTGATTTTCAACTAGTGTGTGTAATGTCATTAACATTCTAAGCTTTCCATTCTAAGTTGAAGAAGGAAAAATTGTAACATTGCCCTCTTACAAAAGAAGGCTCTGTTAACAGGTGAAGAGAGAATACATCTCTTCGTGTCATGAGACGCCTGTAAGCAGAGCTGTGCTAAGCCTGTCAGGGGAGACAGAGCCAGGTTTCATGGAGCCTGAAGCTTATACAAAATAGATAACAGTCTTTATGGGGCTGGAGAGATGATTTAGCAATTAAGAGCACTGGGTGCTCTTACAGAGGACCTGGTTCTGTCTCCAGCACCTACATGGTGGCTAACACCATCTCTAACTCCAGTTCCAGAGGATCTGATGTTCTCTGGCCTTCTCACTACATGCATGTGGTGTACTTAAATACATGCAGGTAAAACACTCATACACATAATAATAAATTAATTAACTAAATTTAAAAATTAAATGAAGAAAACAGTCAGAGCCTGGAGAGATGGCTCAGCAGCTAAGAGAACTGGCTGCTCTTGCAGAGGACCCAGGTTCGAGTCCCAGCACCTACATGGTGGCTAACAACTGTTCCTAATTCCAGTTTCAGGAGATCCAGTGCCCTCTTCTGATCTCTGTGGGCATTGTACAACATGGGTGCACTTAGTTACAATCAGGTAAGACACATAAAGAAAAAAATTAAAAAAGAAAAGTCTTGGGGCTGGAGAGATGGCTCAGTGGTTAAGAACACTGGTTGTTCTTGCAGAGACCCGGGTTCGAGTCCCAGCACCCACATGGCAGCTAACAACTGTCTGTAACTGCAGGGAGGTTGAGCCTGTGGACCCCCCCCCACAGAAGGATGACTGGGGATGTGTAAGTGCGCGTTCGCCAGCTCTTGCCGCCCCCAGCACTGGGAACAATCAGATGCAACGGGAAGTCTAGTCAAGTAGAAACTCATTTATTGCAGCAGGGCAGGGTGCTTATAATTCCCCTACCTCTCATAGTTCTCCAATCAGCTTAAAGGTCAATGCATGCATTCAGGCAGGATCCCATGAAAGTTTATGGAGGCATCCAATCCAATGATCTTCAAAACAAGTCAAGCTGTGCCCCAGTAACTTCCTCTCGGTGCCATCTTGGGAAGGTGGGGCCTTTATGTCCCCACAGTAACTCCACTCCCAGAGGATCAGACAGCCTCTTCTGACCTCCACGGGCATTGCACAACATGGGTGCAGTTACCTACATGCAGATAATACATGCATACACATAAAAATAATAAATAAAAAATTTTAAAAAGTTTAAAAAAAAGTCTTTAAAGAAAAAAATATTTTAAAAAGCCCCTCACCTTTATAAATGCTGTGTCAGTAATAACATGAACATCGTCCCAGGATTGTGACTAGAACATGTAACATGAAAGACCTCAGAGTTTAAGCTTTCTTAATCTCAGGGAAAATCAAGGTTCTGACTCTGGGATGGAGACTGACTCCTACCTGGGTTGGTTCCTGTTGTCCTATGGAGAGAGAGAAGTCTTATGTGTGTCTGCCTGGGTGCAGGGATGACACTGTTTCCAGGCAGTTCCACCTGGAACACAGGCAGCTCTGTTCAGACCCAGTCTTCCCACTCCAAGCCCTGTTAGTGTGGGCTGCCAGAGCTTGACCCTTGCTCTCTCTGTTCACCAGCTCCCCTCTTTGATATGAATCCCTTTCCAATTCTCCAGAGCCCATTGTCCATGCTCTGAATATGCACTGCTTCTTTAAAGGTGCCAGAGGCATTTTTAAAATGACCATGTAGTTGCCTCTTCTGCTGTCTGCAAACTCCTATGCTTCTAGAAGCTCTCCATCCTTCAAGGAGAGCATTTCTAGCGACATAGGGTGGGGTGTTACTGCAGCCCTTTCATGGTGGATGCTTTTTTTTGTGTTTCTTTCTCCACATCCCTGGCAACCACCTCCCATCCTGCTTTCTCTTCATGTATCTCCATCTCATTTGGAGATGCCCATGAAGACCACTGGAACCCCCTCCATCCCTGCATAACACATCTCATGGCTATTCTTCTTCCCTGGTCTCCCCAAGTGAGATCTGGCCTTTTATTTGGCTTCTCCCCAGAATCACTCACATTAGACATACTACATATAACAGCCTTTGCTGAAAGAGTTGAAACAATGATGTAGTTTTATATCAGAGCAAAGAACAAACCACTTAAAATTATTTGTTTGCTTATTTATTTTGCAGGACTAGGAACTGAACCCAGGGCCTTGGGAACGCTAGGCAAGCACTCTACCTTTGACATACATCCCTAGCCCTTAAAATTACATTTTGACCATCTTCATTTCTTATAGCCACCCTTGGGACTTCCTCCCTGAACTCTTCTCTCCTCACTTGAGCCATCAGTGAATTGCTTGACTCTGTCCTCAATGCCACCAACCTCCTCATTCCCACTTTGTCAGTAGTCAGAAGTAGCCTTATTCAGGTGAAGGTTTTTAATTTTTTTATTGAATTTTTGTGTATTTCATATAGAACATCTCAGTAAATCTCAATCATCTTTATACGTCCTTTCCCACTGACACCCTTCCATAGCCCCCCACTGGAATTCATACATTCTGTCATTTGTGTGAAGGCCTATTGTGTCAAGTTAGTGTCTCCAAGATGTTCCTTAGTGCAAGTTCATGTACTGAGGTCTAGAAGTTTTTTTTTTTAAGCCACCCAAATTAGTTATGCTTAGTGTGAATGAAAGATAGAAACGAAGAAAACATCTCACCATTCTGAACACCTGGCTTCCTTGTTTTTCAGCACTTAATTACTTTATCTGCAGGCACATGAATCACACCCTAATTCTGCCCTGTCCACGACAGATGAATCCTCTCTCAGGCCCACCCTTCCCAGTTCTCCCTATTTCTCACTTCCCGTCCTTTTGCATTAAGCAAAAGCTATCTCAAAAGAGCAGTACTTGTTCTCTGCATTCGAATGGCCGGGAACCAAGCAGACAAGGCAGCAGGGAAGAGACTAACCTGGACAGAACAAAGTGATAGATAAGAAATTGTACTCGGAGCAGGTTTACTTGATGACAAGGAAGTTAGATCCTGGGATGGAAAGCCACACTGTCTATTCCAGGCTAAGCAGGCAGCAGGTGCTCTTGAACCTCTCATTACAAAAATCATAGCACCAAGACAGTTTCTGTACCTAGACATCTTCATCCTGTAGCACTGCCTCTGTCCTGAGCTTCTCTAGTTCCTCACCACTGGATTCTGTAGGACACGGCTGATACCAAGTACCTGTGGTCTTTGTCCAGAAAGAACAAGAACGATGACTGTGCCAGAGACTGCAGAGGCCATAGATAGCAGCCAGCACAACTGCCCCTAAGGCCAGGTGCCAGCAGAAGAAGATGGTGAGGAATGACAAGTCCACGGGATTGTCTGCCCGCCAAGGTTGTCCAGTGGGAGGTGAATACATCACTGTACAGAGCTGCAGCATCCAATTGCTGAGCACCAGCCCCAGCCAGGTCTTGAACACCCAGAGTGGGGGATGATCAGGGACCCAGATCTCAATGCTGAGCACCACCGCGAGCAGGAAGGAGGGAACCATGAACAGAATGTGCACTCGGATCTCCAGGGCACTCTTGTTCTCAATGTGGGCTGCCATCAACAGTACCAGCACATAGAAAGCCAAGGCTTCGGCAGCTCGTTCCAGCCTCGCACTCCGATGTGCCACACATGATTGGCTCACGATGTCCACCATACCACTGAGCAGAAAAAACACGTACATGGTGAAATGTTGCCAGTTGTCCTTGAACACAAATGGCCGCTGAGGGTCTTCCCAATCTATCATCACTGCCCGGTTTATCCCAGGCGGGTAGTAGAATTCAGCTAAAATGCCAACACAAGGAATGACCACCTTCAGCACCCCTTCATATGAGACCTGCTGCAACGCCCGGTGTCCTTCCCGTTTCCATACGAATAGAGGGGGCTTGAGGACCCTCTGCTCCTGGAGCAGCGCCAGGGACACCAGCACTGAATGGTAGAGTGAGTAGAAGAGGAGGGCTATGCCTGGCAGCAGGTGTCCTTCAAGGGTTCCCATGGCTTTTGTGTGCGTTGAGATGACAGGACCAGAGCAGGAGATGAGCTGCACGTTCACTGGTTGTCCTCACAAGCCTCTGAGCCCACAGATGCCCAGGGCCTTCAGCAACCTGGCTCTGCCTCTCACACACAGGAATATCCTCATCACAGACGCTAGAGCCACTCCTAGGGTGGGACATCTGTGAGACAAGTGGCGCTTGACTCCTGACTGAAATTTTCTGGCTCTGGAGTTTCAGCCTCTGTACTGCATGGCAGGCACTGCAGATCTGGCTTGCCCTTTCTTTCACTGGGCCCTCTGCCCACTCCAGCCCCACACAGAGAAGGGAGAGAATAAACAGGCTTTGGCAGAGAGATGGCATGCTGACTACAACTGACTGGCATAGCACATATTTTTCTCTCATTTTAAATCCCTGAACAACTTTATGAGGGTGGTTTTGTGAAACCAACTTTACAGGTGAAATTGAAACTCAGAGTGGTGATAGGTCAGGCACAAGGTGACACATCTAGCAACTGGCAGAATTCCTGGGGTGTGGACCCATTTCTACTGATCTTATGAAGGCCAGCATTTTTCACAGTAAAATGACTGGAATTCAGCTCCTAACATGGGCAAGCCACATGACAATGGGTAACTTGCTTTTGTCTTCTTGACAATTTATGTGTGTGTGTGTGTGTGTGTGTGTGTGTGTGTGTGTGTGTAAATAGGATAATGTATGCTGTTTGATATGTAGTAAATACTTGGTAAATGGTAATGATTATTAATTTTCCTTTTGTTATTAAACATTCCTTGATAAATTCCTGTGATTCTTAAGTTGTTCAAGTTTTTAGGAGATAGCAAAGCAGGGTTAATAAAGATAAAGAAATAAAAATTAATTACTTTAAGCTGTTTGTTTATTTATTATTTTAATTTATTTTATGTGTATGAATGTGTTGTCTGCATGTATGTAAGTGTACCTGTGTTTGCAATGCCTGAAGGGGTCAGCAGAGGGCATCATATTTCCCCTGGAACTGGAATTACGGACAGTTGTTAGCTATCATGTGGGTGCTGGGAATTGAATCCAGGTCCTTAGCAAGAGCAGTCAGTGCTCTTAACCACTGAGCCATCTCTCCAGCCCCTAGAAATTTTTAAAATCAATGCAAGTTAAACATTATATTTATTTATGTATTAAAATTACAGCTAAGGGTGGTTGGAGAGTGAGGAAGTATGAAATGCCACATTATGGTTACGTAGTGGTTTGAATGAAAATGTCCCCCATAGGCTCCAAGTGTTTGGACATTTTTGTCCCCAGATGATGGCGCTGTTTTGGAAGGTTTTAGAAGGTGTGGCTATCGTGGAGGAAGCATGTCACTGGGGGTGGGCTTAGAGAGTTGTTAAGCCTTGCTAGATCTCTAGTTGGTCTCTTGCTTCCTGTGCCTGTATGATGATGTGAGAGCTTAGCTTCTGATGCTCCTGATCCAGCCACCTCCATCCACCTCCAACCACCATGCCTCCCTGCCATGATGGATTGTAATTCCCCTGGAACTGTAAACTCAAATAAACTCTTCCTTCTATAAATTGCTTTGGTCAGTGTTTCTATCACAGCAACAGAAAAGTGACTAATAGAGGTGATGTCTGAATAAAGACAGCATCCTTTTTAGCCAAGAGGAGACCCAAACACACACACACACACACACACACACACACACACACACACACACCAAAGCAAGGAAGGGTCATGAGGAATTAAAGCTGTATGTTTAGGTTATCAGAGGAGCCCAGGGCCCAGTAATCTTGTTTACATTGTAAATAGGCTGAGCTAGTGTTAAAGTATCTCAAAACTTAAACTTTTTGACTAAAAGATATATTCAAATCCATAGAAATAGAAAATAGCATGGTGATTGCCAGGAGCTTAGGAGCGAGCGGATGGGGAGAAGCGTGTAATGAATGCAGTTTCCACTGGGAAGACGAGAGAGGTCTGGCGATGGATGGTGGAACTTAATGCCATTAACTGTATACCTAAAAATGGTTTGAGTGGCATATTTTGTTATGTATGCATAATTTTACCAAAATAAAATAGTGAAGACTAAAATCCCCTGGTGATTCTAATGTGCGACCATGTTGAGAGCCACTTTTCACCTGCAGTTACTGCTTCAAGGGAGGGTCTGACCTTGTTTGAGATGACTCCTTACTCGCTGGCTCCAGTGGAAGGAGACTTGATCTCTTTCCATTGATCCCATCCTACCATCTGGGAGTAATAACTAGGTATTACTTTATGCCAAAGCAAAACTCTCAATACTGAGAATTAGATATTTCTGTTTTTAAAAAGTCTTTCAGGGTTGAGAATATTGCTCAGTGGTAGAACACTTGGCTGTCATGCTGCAAGGACTTGGGTTCGATTCCCAGTATGGAAAAAAAAGAAAGAAAAATTTAAAAATTGACACACACACACAAACACACAGAGAGAGAGAAAGAGAGAGAGAGAGAGAGAGAGAGAGAGAGAGA